CGTATGTTTTATCTGCTCGTGTGTGCTGAAGTTTTTTGATTTAAAACCCAGGGAATGGTCGCATGTGAGCGTATCCGAAAGCTTACCGATCGTTGGCAGAAGGTCGTGGATAATGATGATTTTTATTTTGAAGAATAGTTATTTCTGTTTCTGAACGAATTCATATATTAACTTTGAATTTTTAGTAAGTGTTAAAGATCTTTTTTTCTCCACCTGATACTAGTGAATCTCAAACACTCCTCCACTGCTTGTCGATAGACTGTGTGAGTGGTTGTGGATAGATGTACGAACAGACTACCCGGGCGCTATTCACATGTGAAATGCGAATTTTGTTGTTAACAAAAATTTTTTCTCCACTTTGAGAAAAACTGTAAGTCATCCCTCTTTGATAGACCACTGAAATGCGTGGCTCAAATAATGATTATCAGGCATATTGAAATTTGAGCAGTGGTCTTAAGAAATCACTCGGAATGAAAGAGACTGAGAATACTTTAGTTGATGTTATTTGATGCTTTCGATTACTTGATAAAATCAATTTTTGAATTGTTGGATTGAATTCGGAAATCAATGACTAATCGAAATTTATTTATTCGACCACCTTTTACTGTGTTATGATATTTTAGTATACCCAATAATGTAAAGCGCTTTGCAAAAACATCTGCGTCAGCCGGGATGCGAACCCAGACCTCACTCTTTCCGGAAGAGCGTGCTGAACCGTTGCAATACTGACGCGTTTTGCACAACGCTCTTTCTACGCTACTACGCGTTATCAGTCAACAGCCAACCGTCGACGTTCCGGCGGTGTTCGGAACTTTGTAGGAGACCTAATACACCACTCGAAACAATGTTAACAAAATTCAAAGAAAGTGAAATAGAACAACTAAGTATAAAAACAACAGAATGGCAGATAAATGCAGCATCAGAGGAAGAAAATTCACAACACCTCGAAGAAGCATTAGGCGCTCTTCAGGACACAAGAAAGAAAACAGAATAGGAAATGCAAAGTTTGGCCAGTAAACTGGAGCAAACCCCAAATATGCAAAACATCCAAAAAGAATTTGAAGAAGTATTAGAACAACTGGGACTGGCCGTAACCGACGTTTTCCAGTACGACGGTATTCTTAAAGCGCGAATAAAGGGCTTCAAAACATACATCCATCTCCCAAATACACCATCCTAGCAAATTTAAAAGACGATACAGAAGACGCTACAGTTGTCAAACAAATGAAACTGTCCACATTACTCATTGCGATTTTCAACGGAAATATATGGGAATTGGATAACTTTTGTGAGCTTTTCAGCACTAACGTACATTCTCAAGTGATCACTGACTTCCTGTATATGATCCAGTGTCATCCCTTGTTTGTGTAAGGTGAAAAGATGATGATGTTTTGTCAAGTTTTTCTAGTAAGAGTGGTCTAAGTTCTCTGAAAGGAGAAGCTCTACGAGCAATAAAGAAATTCCAAACTGATAGAGAAAACTACCAAAAAGCCATTATCCACTTTTCTCTAAGTACAGCAACCCAGAAGAACTTAATCCACTCTTACTAGAGAAATTGGACATAATATCACCATCTTTTCCCTTACACGAACAAAGTATGACACTGTGCCATATACAGGCTATACTGTACCAGCTTACGGAAACAGGAGAAAACGTCAACAATCAAACTATGTACAAGATAATCCTTTCGAAATTTACAGTTGGAACTCAAAGAAAGGTACTAGCCAAGAAAACAACAACAGGAGCACTTTTCAACATACACATCTTGTCACAATTCTTATAAGAAACCATCTCAAATGAGGAAATAATATCCTGCTACATGACATCTGGACGACCAACTTTCAACTATTACAACAAAGCTTGAAGGTCGACCAACACCACTCAATAAGCCTGTACAATGAAAACCACGAACGACGCCTCGTAATAGCATGTATTGCAAAGGTAGTCATAAGCCATCGTACTGCAGCCAACACACAATAGAGTTACCAGTACTCCAAAGATAACAACCTACGCCACATATGTGAATTACCCTCCCATACTACATTTCAACGCAAAGGAGTACCATGTTACAGGTTCTAGAAGAGTCACCATACTTCGAGTTGCTTCCACTCAACAACAACAGAGGGCACAACACCTACAACTTTCCCAAGGGAAGAAATGACGAAAAACAAACCAAAGGATCACAAATCACCTACTTCTACTTCGAAAATCAATCAAATTCAAGGAGATAACTCACCCGTACACAGCACTTTGACCAAACTGCGCCGGAGGGTTGACAAATCAACTACGAAAATGGAGAAATTCATGCTGCCTACCGGACAATTGACTGCTGCAAATCTTTCTTATTGGACACAGGAGCTGACTTGTCGTTCATCAATAAAAAAGTTGCAGAGGAACTTCATCCACCATTAATAGACAAAGTTAAACTGTGCCTCAGTACATTTGAATCTCATAAAGTACAGGAACACTTGGCAAGAAAAGTGTCACTTAACGTGCGGGATGCAGAAGGCAATCAGCTCTCGCTGCCCTTGCTCACATACAGTGCTATGACAAAACTACTTTGAACACCAGAATTATGCTCACAAGACATGGAATTTATGCAAGGGAATAATCTCAAAATCGATTTCAATAGAAAGGAACCCTTCGTAAAACCTTCCATGCTTCATGGATGTAACGAACTTTGGACCTTAATAAAGAAGGATAAATCTCACATCCAGCTCTCATCGGCTCTAAATCTACTTCCAACAAAACTGACGGGAAAGACCAACGAAGCGAAACAACTACAACAAAAAGGATATAAAATTTGTTCTTACAGCAAAAAAGAGAAGAAGAAGACTCACGGTAAGAAGAGAAGGACGATAGTGATATAGATAAATGGGACCGATACTGGACACTGCAGGATTAGATCAATACCGCTTACCTTCATCAACCTGAATACATCAATGAGCCACTAAAAGAACGGCCACTAGTACACAACAATCATTCAGCATATTCCTACGTCGCTTCTACGGGAGACGTGGAATGCCCTCATAGATCATGAGTGGTAATGCTCCGACATTTATACTTTCAGAAGTAAACGAACGCTCGCATTTTATTGAAAGCGATCCAGAAGTGATACGCAAAAAGGGCTAATCATGAATGATAGTGGGAATACAATACACCATTTGCTCCAGGCAAGGAGACATCTACGCGACACTTAAGTCAGTAAAACACTTAAGTCATTAAGTCAGTAAAACAGTCTCTTCATAATACCCTTGGAACATCCAAGCTTTCATTGGAGCACTTGACAACGGTGGTCATAGAGATCATAACTCTCCTTAACGCAAGATCATTGTTGGACGTTGAATCGAATTCAGTATGAGAGGAAATACTTAGACCAATCGACTTCCTTCAAAATGGATTCAAAGTCCAGTATAATTGGACGGACCCGACGAGAAACAAAGCGATCCTCCTTTTTTCCAGCCAGAGATGCAAGCTTTCTTATGAACGAAAAGACAAGTGATAAAGGCTTTGAATTCATCCTGCATGCTCTCAAAAAAAAATGTGAAGAACTCAGTATCGACGTGACAAGCATCAAAGCGGATTGGGAAATAAAGGAAGTTCTGAATAAACTCCCAAACAGGACGAAGTTGTACTTATGAATGATCCAATACAACCACGACACTTATGGAAAGTTGGGATAATAAGGGAACTGGTCACGAAAGCACAAGGGGTTCCTCGCGAAGCAGTTATTTCACTGCCGTTAAACCGTCAAATTCGTGGACATTTGAATCTTCTCATGCCGCTGGAGATAGAGGATCCTCAACCACAGTATAAAAGAACTGAACAATCTGAATCACGTAGCGAAATGCATTTCACACAACCTAATCATTAAAGGGATGGACATAGCAACAATTTGCTTGCGGGGAAACCCATCGATACAAGTACACAAGACGTCAACTACCGCCTCCAACTAAGAAAACAGATAAACTACGGAGATTTTGAAAATTCCCATAAATGACCCAATTTTCTTTGTCTGTTTACATGCTAGCTCTACTACTGTCGACATATCTTTGTTCAGAAGATTATTCAACATTAGACATATAGAATGTATAGGTGGAGGAGTGAATTGACATCGTCAAATCGAGCACCTTATGAAATTTACGCATAAGATTTCTGTAAGACTTCTGGGACACCACAACACAAGGATACGATTCACTCACCCTAACAAGTAGTGTTGCATGATTATGGAGCGCGATGGAGAATAAGGTCTAACGGCTTGACAGGAATCACTGAAATGTCTGCCCTCTAGCCTCGCTCTGTGAACACATAAATTGTATATTTTGTTCGGCTCAATTTCCAACCCGGAGTGTTTTCTGATAGGAACCATTATAGCCGTCACCATTCTGCTCTATCTAATCATTACTACCTGCTGTGTGTTCTTAGTCTCATCAGTCAAGGTGAGATAATTCGTCCGACGCCTAGTATCCCTCATCCGGAGATTCATAAAATCACCACATGATGATCTGTCAGAACATACAAGACGTCCAGTAGGCGCCACCCAGAAGCTAAGGACGCATCAACACTTTTATTGGTGATCTCAGCGACAACCATGATACCAGTAGAGGCGTGTTTCAGCAAGAAGTTGTCCTCTTCACTACATTCTCAATGCCCTTAGTCGCTAGTTTCCTGCCGCTCGACTCCGGAGCCAGGTCGTTTATCATGATGACTTCACGACCTTGAAAGACGTAATTGGAGCATTTGGAGATGTGCGTTTCTTTTACTTGCAAACCTAAAAAAATGTAATATAATAAACTTAAGAAATATCTTCCAATTCAAAGAAGAAGAGTGGTGGCAAAACAGGCTTCGGTAGTGTTAATGGTTCGAGTTCACTCCCCAGATAGGGTTAGATGTGGGCTCAAGTTCCACTTGACTGAAAAGTTTTGCTTATCACTATACATCATTAGGTATATTATGATGCTCTCTTTGCATGACAACGATACTCTTAACATATCTGACTTGCGTCAGCATGTCATGTGGTCTTTTATGGGCTCTTGTATGTAGGTGGATGGAGCATCTCCGAGATGACTAGCTAAAGACGGCGTGCCTGCCCTACTGACGAGGGTGCCAAAGCCGATACACGTGTTTCGGGTCGTACAAGAGCCCATAACAGGCCACATGACATTTTGGATCAAATAATTATTATCAGATATATTGAAATTTGACCGTGGTCTTAAGAGAACACTCGAAACGAACGCTTCTTCATTAATTTTTAGAACGACAACAAAGAGCGTTGTTAGCATATTCTGAACCTCACACAAAATTCGGTGGCCTACTATTGTATTAAATCAGTGATGCTAACCCCTACACAGACAGGTCTGGTACCAAATGTCGGAGTGATAAAAAGCTTGGAGAGCTTCAGGCACGGGGTCGTACCATCAGCAACGTGTCGACACTCGTGACCACTGTAGTACCCGCGCCCACCGTTCCAAATATGTGACAGATAATTACGGTGACGGTGATTATATTGCCGCAAAAACAGAATTCTGAAAAGTTTTCTTTTGAGTTCTTGAGCAAATTTTCCATATAATGCTACCAAAATGTCCTGTAATTAATGTTTAAAGCCTTACCGAGCGAGCTTTCCGACGTATTTTATGCCTTTTAGCTCCCAGTGATCACTACTTGTATACTGCTCAGGGTAGTCACAATGAAATACCCGGCGTCAATGGCAGAGGCAACTTTGACGGAACCTC